CTGGCAGAAAAGGGCGGTGCAGAGCTCTTGCAGGATTGACTGCTCTAAGTGAAGAATGGGCTGAGAACTCAGGAGTTAATACATCTTTGATAGGGTGGTTTGATGAAATGTTTGGTCAATGGAAAACCATAGCAGCCACCATCTTGGGGCCTGCCAACACATGTATGGGTATACTTGTATTATGTGGTTGTTGTCTTATTCCCTGTGTCCGAGGGTTGGTGAGTAAGGCATTGGAGAATGCAGTGTCTCAACAGATGAGATATGGACTGACTCCGGATTCTAACCAGTGGAATGTGAAAAACGATCCTCCAGGCTTTGTGGATAACGAGGACTTTGACCCTGATAACCTGCAATTAGATAAAACTTTTATTGGTTCTGACGTGTGAAGGTCATAGGGAAAATCTAAAAAAGACCTATGATTGGAAAGTAGTTAATATAACTAATCTCTGAGGTGAATCATGCCTGTAAATACATTTATCCTGAGGGTGTACAAATTTTGTCAAAGGGTGGATTGATAGATGAATTTGTATGTTTATTATAATGACTAAAAAGATTCCACCCCAATACTGTATAAATGTGTAAACTGTGTTAGAGTTATAAGACAATGAACCCACTAACAGAGAAGGGGGTTAGAAACTGCTGAGACAAACATTCCAGGAGAAAGGAAACCTAGAAACTGTCAAACTTAACCATTCTATACTGTGGAAATTTACAGGGCGCCTAAAGATGGCGGAGCAAAGTCCTTTGTGTGGACGCATATAAAAAGGTTGTGTGTGTTTTTAGCGCCAGAGCGCTCTCATGAATAAAAATGCTGATCTCTTGCAGACTGGAGAATTTGTTTAATTCATTATTAAACCAGAGCCTTACACCCTCTGGGAACTATACAAAGCTTTAGTATTAGAGATAGAAATTCTCGTGACAGTCATGTAGTGTATATATATATAAGAGGAGGCTGGTGGGAGGAGCTGTAGGAGGATGGGCTCATTGTAATGGCTGGAATGGGATAAATGGAACGGTATTAAACACATCAAACATATGGTTTGACTCCGTTCCATTCATTCTATTCCAGCCATTACAATGAGCCTGTCCTCATATAGCTCCTCCCACCAGCCTCCTATGATGTGTGTATATATACACTACCAGTCAAAAGTTTGGACACACCTACTCATTCAAGGGTTCTTCTTAATTTTTACTATTTTTTACATAGTAGAAAACTAGTGAAGACATCAAAACTATGAAATAACACATATGGAATCATGTAGTAACCAAAAAAAAGTGTTAAACAAATCAAACTATATTTTATATTTGAGACTCTTCAAATAGCCACCCTTTAGTCACCTGGAAAGCATTTCAATTAACAGGAGTGCCTTCTTAAAAGTTAATTTGTGGAATTTCTTTCCTTCCTAATGCTTTTGAGACAATCAGTTGTGTTGTGACAATGTAAGGGGAGTATACAGAAGGTAGCCCTATTTGGTAAAAGGCCAAGTCCATATTATGGCAAGAACAGCGCAAATAAGCAAAGAGAAACAACAGTCCGTCATTACTTTAAGACATGAAGGTCAGTCAATACGGAAAATTTCAAGAACTTTGAAAGTTACCAGCCTCAGAAATTGCAGCCCAAATAAATGCTTCACAGAGTTTAAGTAACAGACACATCTCAACATCAACTGTTCAGATGAGACTGTGTGAATCAGGCCTTCATGGTCGAATTGCTGCAAAGAAACTACTACTAAAGGACACCAATAAGAAGAAGAGACTTGCTTGGGCCAAGAAACACGAGCAATGGACATTAGACCGGTGGAGATTTGTCCTTTGGTCAGGAGTCCAAATTGGAAATTTTTGGTTCCAACAGCCGTGGCTTTGTGAGACGCGGTGTGGGTGAACGGATGATCTCCGCATTTGTATTTCCCACCATAAAGCATAGAGGAGGAGGTGTTATGGTGTGGGGGTGCTTTGCTGGTGACACTGTCTGTGATTTATTTAGAATTCAAGGCACACTTAATCGGCATGGCTACCACAGCATTCTGCAGCGATGCGCCATCCCATCTGGTTTGGGCTTAGTGGGAATATCATTTGTTTTTCAACAAGACAATGACTCAACACACCTCCAGGCTGTGTAAGGGCTATTTTACCAAGAAGGAGAGTGATGGAGTGCTGCATCAGATGACCTGGCCTCCACAATCCCCCTACCTCAACCCAATTGAGATGGTTTGGACCGCAGAGTGAAGGAAAAGCAGCCAACAAGTGCTCAGCATATGTGGGAACTCCTTCAAGACTGTTGGAAAAGCATTCCAGGTGAAGCTGGTTGAGAGAATGCCAAGAGTGTGCAAAGCTGTCATCAAGGCAAAGGGTGGCTATTTGAGGAATCTCAAATATAAAATATATTTTGATTTGTTTAACACTTCTTTGGTTACTACATGATTCCATATGTGTTCTTTCATAGTTTTGATGTCTTCACTATTATTCTACAATGTAGAAAATAGTAAAAATAAAGAAAAACCTTGGAATGAGTAGGTGTGTCCAAACTTTTGACTGGGACTGTATATATACAGTTGAAGTCGGAAGTTTACATACACCTTAGCCAAATACATTTAAACTCAGTTTTTCACAATTCCTGACATTTAATCCTAGTAAAACCTCCCTGTCTTAGGTCAGATAGGATCACCACTTTCTTTTAAGAATATGAAATGTCAGAATAATAGTAGAGAGAATGATTTATTTAAGCTTTTATTTATTTAATCACATTCCCAGTGGGTCAGAAGTTTACATACACTCAATTAGTATTTGGTAGCGTTGCCTTTAAATTGTTTAACTTGGGTCAAACGTTTCGGGTAGCCTTCCACAAGCTTCCCACAATAAGTTGGGTGAATTTTGTCCCATTCCTCCAGACAGAGCTGGTGTAACTGAGTCAGGTTTGTAGGCCTCCTTGCTCGCACCCGCTTTTTCAGTTCTGCCCACAAATGTTCTATAGGATTGAGGTCAGTGCTTTGTGATGGCCACTCCAATACCTTGACTTTGTTGTCCTTAAGCCATTTTGAAACAAATTTGGAAGTATGCTTGGAGTCATTGTCCATTTGGAAGACCCATTTGTGACCAAGCTTTAACTTCCTGAATGATGTCTTGAGATGTTGCTTCAACATGTCCACATAATTTTCCTTCCTCATGATGCCATCTATTTTGTGAAGTGCACCAGTCCCTCCTGCAGCAAAGCACCCCACAGCATGATGCTGTCACCCCTGTGCTTCACGGTTGGGATGGTGTTCTTCGGCTTGCAAGCAACCCCCTCTTTCCTCCAAACATGATTATCATTATGGCCAAACGGTTCTATTTTTGTTTCATCAGACCAGAGGACATTTCTCCAAAAAGTACAATCTTTGTCCCCATGTGCAGTTGCCAACCGTAGTCTGGCTTTTTTATGGCGGTTTTGGAGCAGTGGCTTCTTCCTTGCTGAGCGGCCTTTCAGGTTATGTTGATATAGGACTTGTTTTACTGTGGATATAGATAATTTTGTACCGGTTTCCTCCAGCATCTTCACAAGGTCCTTTGCTGTTGTTCTGGGATTGATTTGCACTTTTCGCACCAAAGTACGCTCATCTCTAGGAGACAGAACGTGTCTCCTTCATGAGCGTTATGAAGGATGCGTGGTCCCATGGTGTTTATACTTGCGTACTATTGTTTGTACAGATGAACGTGGTACCTTCAGGCGTTTGGAAATTGCTCCCAAGGATGAACCAGACTTGTTGAGGTCTACAATTATTTTCTGAGGTCTTGGCTGATTTCTTTTGATATTCCCATGATGTCAAGTAAACAAGGCACTGAGTTTGAAGGTAGCCCTTGAAATACATCCACAGGTACACCTCCCAATTGATTCAAATGATGTCAATTAGCCTATCAGAAGCTTCTAAAGCCATGACATCATTTTCTGGAATATTCCAAGCTGTTTAAAGTCACAGTCAACTTAATGTATGTAAACTTCTGACCCACTGGAATTGTGATACAGTGAAATAATCAGTCTGTAAACAATTGTTGGAAAAATTTGACCCTGATGGTCATCCATGAACGTTTGAACATCTTGAAGAACCCTGCACAGCCAGAGGAGGACTGGCTGCCCCTCAGAGCCTGATTCCTCTCTAGGTTTCTTCCTAGGTTCCTGCTTTTCTAGGGAATTTTTACTAGCCACTGTGCTTCTACATCTGCATTGCTTGCTGTTTGGGGTTTTAGGCTGGTTTCCCATATAAGCACTTTGTGACATCTGGTAAAAAGGGCTTTATAAATCGATTTGATTTTATCATGTGTTATGATGAGTTTCTCAGGTATCAAAGAATCAAGGATGCAAGCATTCTGTGGAGATTTCATACCAAGTATTTATTGAATCACGAGCTCGTGGGTTCATCTAACAAACGGACATGGCTCTGCCCTTCATCAGTTGAACTAAGTTAACAAAGAAGATCCTCTATCTTATATAGCCTTTTGGTTCTCATTCCTTTCACATACATCTGGTAAACATCATAGGCCTCCCTGTCTCTGTTCTTATTAACCTTTTCCCTCAGGTCACTACATCCTGTCCATCACTCACATTACCCTAACCATCACTTATCTACTTTGACATAATGGAATGTAGACTACCTGGCACCAAACCACTCATCTCTTAACTCTTCCTCTGTCCTCACAACACTATGGCATGACATTATTATACCATAAAAACATAATATCATCATGAAAGGCCTATATGATATACTGTATGTGGCTATAACTGTACAGTACACTGTTATCTGCTTACTCCTTTTTCACTAACTAATTATTATAATCTCATTATTTCTTGCACAACACACATGCTTAATGAAAGTATTTTCCCAGAACTGGCCAAACGTAAGTTTCATTTCTCCATTGCCACGCCTAAATCCTCTGATCTTCTGAGGTGTACTGACCCCCGTCACTCAACAACCTAATCCAATGAAATGATTCAGTCGGACTGGGGGGGTTGGACTTAATCCAGACGAAATCCCACAATAAAATTGTCTTCACGCACATCGTCTGAAATTTAAGAACGGTTTGGTGTCTCAGTTCCATTCTGCAGTGTGAAGAGACTGATCTGCATGCAAAGAATCCAGGTAGGTTTATTTGTTCAGGCTTGCGTTACATTTCCCTCACTGTAGCTCGAGCTAGAAGATTAAACACAAAATGTTTCTAATTGAAGATTCACCTTGCAATGATTCAACCCTGGCTATGATACTGTATAGTTAACTAAATACTTCCACCAACCCTCGACACGGTCTATTACCTATCACTGCTCTTTTTTCACACATATTGTAAACATTTAGATGTTTGAACATCTTCAATTCTTTATCCAGGACACCAGACTGTATTTCTGATTTCCTGATTGTAGCGTGTTAGCAAACCGTTGATCATGGCACTGGACGGATGTGGCCAGCTGTGTAAGTGTGTCCTCATCCTTTTCAACATCATTTTTGGCGTAAGTATCCATAATCTCACTGTAACTCTGTAGACCTAGTGGTAACAAATTGGTATCTGGTGTGTATGAGAAAGAGAAGGGGGCTGGTGTAAAATGTAAACTCATTGTGGTAGGTGAATAGTTCAAAGGGCATTGTCTATTTATCTTTGATCAACATAGGCAGCATTTGCCATTTGCTGATTTGGAAATAAGCGTTGCTTAAAGTCAAATAGCTAAATCTCTTATTAAAATTTTGTCCAGACCCTTGCTACCATCTCTGTATGGGAAAGACATTTCCATTGCTGTTATTAAAAGGCTGCATGTATCGTCTGTGTGACTGATTAAACCCCTTTCCCGTCAAAGTACCAGCTCATGTCTATTGCTCACAGTTGTCCAAATCAAATCGGATGTCACATGCGCCGAATATAACTGGTGTAGACTTTACCATGAAATGCTTGTTATGAGCCCTTCCCAATGATGCAGAGTTTTAAAAGAACAATACAAATAAAATAGTAACAAGGAATAAAATAAAACACAGGATGGAGCTACAGACAGGGAGTACCAGTACCAGATCAATGTGCAGAGGTACGAGGTATTTGAGGTAGATATGTACATGAAGGCAGGGTAAGGTGACTAGGCATCAGGATAGATAATAATAAGAGTCAAATAAAGTAGCAAATGATGTGTAAAAGTGTGTGTGTGTTTGTAATGTGCATGTATGTGTTTGTGTTGTGTCGGTATGCGTAGTGTACGCATATACAGAAGCTCATTCCATTAATTAACTTCTCCTTCATTAATGGAAATGAACGAGAAGTTTAGTTTCTCATGTTAAGTTTCAAAATGTTGGCGTTCATTCAGACAACCGCTTAGGTGACCCTTCTGGTCAGGCTTTTATATCCAATGAATGTAATAAGAATACAAAAGAAGCAACAAAACAACATTTACCTTGCTGCTGAAAAGCATGCCTAAATCATTGAACAGCTAATAGTATGTGAAATATGAGCCGACAGATGCAAAACCACAGACTTACTGTATCATTGGGGTGTGGTTAGTTCACTTTACCAGCAAACTGATAATCCAAGCAGGGGAATTCCATAGTAATGAATCAAAAGAAACCAAACCAAAACCAAAGTTAAATAGCAGAGTAGAATCACACAGGTGTGCTGTTTGATTCGTTGAACTAGGCTAGTCCTGGCCCCTGGTTGAGGAAGCTATTCTGTTCAGTATTTATTCTGTTGCTATTCTGTGCTTTGAAAGGAATGCCTCTTGTGGAACATTCTTTCTTTATGTCTTGTTTATCTAGCTTTCCCAAACTAGACTATATTAATTTGTAGTCCTTTTTTGCAAATCAGTGCTGCACCTGACATTACATGATGACATTACTCTCATCATGTTACCAATCATCGTTGTCGGATGAAAACCTCATCTCCAAAACAGAAACTTTTCAGGAAATTGAAAAAACTGCCATATTTTCCCATGAACAAACACACAATTATGAAACTTCAGAAGCTATTTTGAATACATGTATTGTTCCTAGAGTCATGAAATTGAGGGGAATTACTGCTTTCAATACATATAAAAATAAAATAAAAAAGTTGCAAGGTTTTCATCCGATTAATTGAACATTGTAGATTTCATAGTTACATTGAAAGGGATACTTTGGGATTTTGGCAATAACGCCCTTTATCTACTTCCCCAGAGTAAGATGAACTAATGGATACCATTTTTATGTCTGCGTGCAGTTTGAAGGAAGTTGCTAACTAGCTTAGCGCAATTGCTAACTAGCATTAGCACAATGACTGGAAGTCTATGGTAACTGCCAGCATGCTAGTTAGCATTGGTTCGCAAAACTACTTTTAACTTCCTTCATACTCAGTGCTTGACTTGGGCAGAAACTCACCGGAGCGGAGTACCTCCACCTCAATTTTTGTGCTGCTTGAGCTCCTGTTCCTCTTATTGAATATTAGCTCAAAAATATTGTGGAGCTCCTGCACCTAAATATAAACAGTAACGGCACCTATTTCAGTCCAAGTCAAGCACTGTTCATACTGGATGCAGAGACATAACATTTTTAGATTAAGGGCTTCATTGCCAAAATCCAGAAGTATCCTTTTAATACTAGTGCATCTTCTACAGTATATTTGTAACATCTTGTGTGAGACTGATCTTTAGGTATGCTTTTACAACCTGTTTCATGCACAGTTTTTGTGGTTTCTTCTGACAGCTGGTGGGTTTTGCGATGTTGGGGTTGGGCTTGTGGCTGAGGTTCAGCTCTGAGACCAGAGGATTTTTCAACATAGACTTCAACACGCAACAGTTTGTCATCGGTGAGCTCAGACAACTCTGCTCTACTAATTTCAGGCCAAAATTTGTTGGAAAACCTTTTGCAGCCATGGATAGACAGACTATACAACTTTAGGTCAGTTGTTTAGTATTTATTTTATTACAGGTTTATAAACTAATAATTACTTTATTAATTACTTATAAACATTTGAAAACCATTTATAAAGTATACCTTTTATGTGTTACTGAAAAATTATTCTAATCACCATTAGTGCTGAATAGCAAACATTGACAAATGGGCATCTATCTCTCTCTCATACTGTAGGAGTGTCAGTGTTGATTGTGTTAGGAGCAGTGATATTGCTCGTGGCTGCTTTCGGAGACTATGGAGTGTGCAATGAGAATAGGACTGCTTTGGGAGTGGTAAGCTACAAGGAAAAGAAAAACTGCATCCATTTTCCATTAGTTACACTACACTGAAGTGGGGGCACAACGTATTTGACAGCCCTGATTTAGAGGCTTGATTGGGCAGTGGTAGTCCTTGCTAACCTAACCAGGCATGGATATCCACCCCTTTCTAGTGACGAACCACACAGATTCCCTTCTACCGCAGGGAACATTAGTGTCTAAGAACATACATATTAGTTTAACTTCCTAATAAGAGTTCCTCACTAGAACGTATCGAAACTTGTTCAGCCCAATATTTACATTTACATTTTTGTCATTTAGCAGACGCTCTTATCCAGCGCGACTTACAGTTAGTGAGTGCATACATTTTAATTTTTCATACTGGCCCCCCATGGGAATCGAACCCACAATCCTGGCGTTGCAAACGCCATGCTCTACCAACTGAGCTACATCCCTGCTGGCCATTCCCAGTTCATTATTTATCTTGCCCAGAGCTTCCTGTTGCCATTTTGAGGCAGCGGTTGCTTTTTCTCTGTGTGGTTTATTATTGAATGCATTACTGTGAGCGTGTCATACAGTATGTGATCTCGCTCACATTAAAATCAGCACTCAGGTCGAGGAATGTTAGCACTTCTATGCTTGAGTAGCTTGTGAAGCAGATAGCCAGTGATTTACTTTAGGCACATAGTTCCCAACCTTCACACAGTTTCTCAAAGGTCATGGACTTTTCTCATTGTTGCAACTTCAAATTCAACTTTATTTATTGTGCATACATTTAACGTCACAACACAAATAAGAAATAAGTCAATTTAAAGGACAGTTTATACATATACAGTGATACTGTGTTTTTATGTGTGGTAATTCATACAGTATGTGTGTTGTTCTGCCATTTACCTGATTTGTTTACCTGCCCTCCCAGTTTTCCTGCCTGCTGGCTATCCTGGCTGTGGTAGAGATTGGAGCCGGTGTGTTCGCCTACAGGAGAAGCGATGAGGTGAGAGAAAATGATGAATGATAAACAACTTGAAGCAAAGGCTTCCCTTTCACACAGATCACCAAACCCTGTGCAATTTCATTAAATGGTAGTAGTCAACAGTGTAACTCTACCTGTGTTGTTGTTGTTGTCGTCTTTGTGCTGTGCAGGTGGGGGAGCAGCTGGCAAAATTCTATACGTCTGTGTACGCTCAGTATGTGGACAAAAGAGACCCTGGCTTGGCTGTTACCCTGTCCATGTTCCACAATGCGGTAAAGACAAAACCTATACCCAAACTTTTAATAGCATCACAGCTTTAGTTAGGCACATTTCACTCCATCATAGCTAATTCAATCCATAGCTCTATAACAATTGTACAAGTATTGTAAACAATTATGTAAACATTCTAAATGGCACTTGCCTTCTCTCTTTTTCTTCTAGTTGCACTGCTGTGGACTCATTGGTGCCTTGGACCCCTTGGTCCAAAAAACATGTCCCGAAACCGGCATTTTTGAGACTTTCACTCTCCCTGTGAGTATTCATTATAGGCCAAATCCTATAAACTTGAGAAACATGTGCAACTTGAACTTCAATGTATTTCATGCATTGCTGTCCATCCAATGGATATTTGCAAGTAAATGTAAGTTACAGGTGCAGGGCTGACCCGCTCATTAGGCAGACGCCTATGGCGGCAGATTGACGAGGGCGGCATTTTCTAAGCCAAGCTGAACAAGACGCACCTCCAACAACGCATAAAACCTCACATAATTCTGCCCCAAAACAATGACAAATTTACTCAACAAATGGCAAACTGGCTTTTTAGGTGAGCACCGATGCCGCCCTGTGCCCACTTTCTCAAAGGCGCAAAATGTTTCGCTTGTCCATTCCCAGCGTGCCTCTCCAGGGTGCTGTTGGAGACGCATTGCTGCAGCGCTCCACCAACGTTTCATCAAAAAAATAATCTAACGTACGGTACCAGTCAAATTTGGACACACCTACTCATTCAAGGGTTTTTCTTTATTTGTGCTATTTTCTACATTGTACTATCAAACTATGAAATAACACATATGTAATCATGTAGTACCAAAAAACTGTTAAACAAATCATAATATATTTTAGATTCTTCAAAGTAGCCACCCTTTGCCTTGATGATAGCTTTGCACACTCTTTGCATTCTCTCAACCAGCTTCATGAGGAATACTTTTCCAACAGACTTGAAGGAGTTCCCACATATGCTGAGCACTTGTTGGCTGTTTTTCCTTCATTCTGCGGTCCAACTCATCCCAAACCATCTCAATTGGGTTGAGGTCGGGTGATTGTAGAGGCCAGGTCATCTGATGCAGCACTCATCACTCTCCTTCTTGGTAAAATACACCTTACACAGCCTGGAGTTGTGTTTTGGGTCATTGTCCTGTTGAAAAACAAATGATATTCCCACTAAGTGCAAACCAGATGGGATGGCGAATCGCTGCAGAATGCTGTGGTAGCCATGCTGGTTAAGTGTGCCTTGAATTCTAAATAGATCACTGACAGTGTCACCAGCAAAGCACCCCCACACCATCACACCTCCTCCTCCACGCTTCACGGTGGGAACCACACATGCGGAGATCATCCGTTCACCTACTCTGTGTCTCGCAAAGACACGGCGATTGGAACTAAAAATCTCAAATTTGGACTCATCAGACCAGAGGACAGATTTCCACTGGTCTAATGTCCATTGCTCGTGTTTCTTGGCCCAAGCAAGTCTCTTCTTCTTATTGGTGTCCTTTAGTAGTGGTTTCTTTGCAGCAATTCGACCATGAAGGCCTGACTTCACGCCGTCTCCTCTGAACAGTTGATGTTGAGATGTCTGTTACTTGAACTCTGTGAAGGATTTATTTGGGCTGCAATCTGAGGTGCATTTAACTCTAATGAACTTATCCTCTGCAGCAGAGAACTCTGGGTCTTCCTTTCCTGTGGCGGTCCTCATGAGAGCTAGTTTCATCATAGCGCTTGATGGTTTTTGCGACTGCACTTGAAGAAACTTTAAAAGTTCTTGAAATGTTCCGTATTGACTGACCTTCATGTCTTAAAGTAATGATGGACTGTCATTTCACTTTGCTTATTTGAGCTGTTCTTGCCATAATATGGACTTGGTCTTTTACCAAATAGGGCTATCTTCTGTATACCACCCCTACCTTGTCACAACACAACTGATTGGCTCAAACGCATTAAGGAAATAAATTCCACAAATTAACTTTTAACAAGGCACCCCTATTAATTGAAATGCATTCCAGGTGACTATGTCATGAAGCTGGTTGAGAGATTCCATATGTGTTATTTCATAGTTTTTGATGTCTTCACTATTATTCTACAATGTAGAAAATATTAAAAAGAAAGAAAAACCCTTGAATGAGTAGGTGTGTCCAAACCTTTGACTGGTACTGTAAATCATGTAGCAGATACAGGATATGGTAGAAAGAGTATGTGGCCTTTTCTGTAGCCTCCAGGCTGGAGATAAAATCTATGACAATGTAATGAGATGGACACTTTTACAACATGCAGGTTTCTCCGATCAAAGAGCCAAACCTAAATGGTGCCCAATCAAATAAAAATGTGCTGACATGTTAACATATCCTAAAAACAGGACAGGTCAAAGTAAAAATGGACAATATGGAATGGACAATCAGGCTACTCACAACTGCTGTTTAGGAGTTTCACCCTGTGGGCTAAATTGTTTGGTTCAGATTTGGTGCGCTCCGGTCCGGCCTTGATTTCAACGTCCACGGACACTGATTTTTGGTCCAGTCCAAACCAAATCAGATTGTCTGGTGTGGACCGGCATTGATTTGGTCCGAACATAGACATCTATAAATGACGTCTTTTCAACTATCATTCAGAACCGAAAATTCAACGTCCTGAAAAATTCATATTTTCACCTTTCATTCAGAACCTAAATTGAACCTAACTTCAACATCTGGAAAATACATATTTTAGACAGCTTTTCAACATCATTTTGCTTACTGGGACTATTGTAGTTTTGCGGGGTGGCAATTTGTTTCTCTGGCCTAGGGCGGCAGAACAGCCATGACCAGCCCTGTACAGGTGCATAGGATTCAGTCGTTTTTCATATTGACTGTATAACTGACTATAATAAAAACATATGTAAAATAATCCATCAAGACTGACAAATTACATTTGTTACCTTATGTTTATTCCACTATGGAGCCATCGAGGAGGCTGGCCTAGATTTCCATAACTCTGGGCTGTACTGAGCCCAAGGCCCTAACCAGTCCCCCTCTGGTCTCTCTGTCCCCCCCCCTGCAGGCCTGCCCCACAGTGATCATCAACATCTTTGAGTCCAATGCGCCTCTGGTAACGGGCCTCTTCCTTGGGACTGCTGCTATGCTGGTAGACAATACTATATACACACAGTTCAGTGCACAAATTTGTTAACCAGGGTAGATCTATTGCTGCATGGTTAGAAATGCACCGGTTAGAAGAGAGAGCAACAGACGGGTGTTGTTACACATTGTTCCCGTGTGGAATGTGATGATGAAACTGATTGTGAGAGGAGAGTTTAAGCAAACCAAGACTTAACTACTGTTCTCATTTTTCAACCCCTCTGCTTCTCCTTTGTAATAACCCATACCTTCTTCTGTTTCTCCCATCCTATACCATCCCTCCCTTCAAATCACTCCTCTCCCCCTTCCATGCACTCTCCCTGCTCTCCCTCTGTCCATCCTTTCAGATCTTAGGCCCTGATGTGCAGCGCCCTCCTCAGCAAAGAGATCCAGCGCTCCCAGTCCTCTCCTCCCCCCTACGTCCTCCTCTCCTCAACTACAGTCCTCTCCTCCCCTAACCAGGACCCTGTGTTCTTCACCCCGCTTCCCGTCGTAATACCTGTGGCTGATGCACTGTAACTCCTTACTCCTCCCATCTTTATTTACACCAATGATCTATGATCCTTTCTCCTCTTTTCACTGCTCAGTAATGTCAATGTCTAGTCTCACTGCAAGCTATCCATCTTCTACCGTTAAATGTCTGGAATTAGTGTTTCATGTCTTCAATTCACCCACTCTTTTGGTACATTTGCTTGTCTCCGAGGCAATAATTTAGGTGGGGATTTGCACTCATGAATCACATCCTGTTACAGCATCTGGTCTAATCCTGAAGGTGATGGGGGCGATTGCTCACTCTGCTGTCTTTCTGATTCCATTCTGCTTCACCCTTTCCTCCCTGCATCACCACCTCCTGTTGCTCCTAGATCACAGCCCAGGTGTGCTGCAGCATCCTCATGAAACAGATCAAGATGAGTCGTCTCTCTGCCCCTGTGAACTACTCCTAGGCCGTGTACTGAGGGGACAGGAACACATTTTTCTCCGCTAGGAGACCAAACCAGATGGTTGTCATTCAGTGACCATCACCCCGTCCTTTCACTTAATACTTCTGGTGAGGTGCCCAATAAAAATGGATGTCCTAATTAGCTTTCATTCATTTGCGTAGCTGGACAGGACTCTAGATCATCTGGACATGCCATTAGCAGGGCTCAGAATGAGACCACGCCATCCATTTAGATGACATATGAACAGGGCAGACGACACTGTTGCTCAGTAGCAGCTGTTTGTTCTGCCAGTCTTCCCACTGTAATCCTTAATCTTCATATTTCATTTCTTAAGGTTATAATTTGAGGATTTAACTGTCAACTGGATTAATCCGTAATTGGTTCTCTATGCCAAATTGAGTACATTAACAATGTAGTTTGTTAATAACATCTTTAATCTATCTACACAATTACAATCCCCCTACTGCCCTGAGGTGACATGAAACATCGGATTTCATCATTCCATGTTTGGATGTTGATGTTGGATGGTATCATATGCAAAGTTGAGTCAGGGATCCTTAAATATGGCTATGGAACATTCCATTTGTTTGACTTCTTTCTACCATGTGAACAACTGATTTTTATAAGCGAACTGTAATGTATTCAACAGGGATACATTTCCTTGTAATTTTGAGTCACTCCAATCGCAGCGCATGTGTAACCTACAACCTTATTGCTCATGGGAATCATATCTCCCTGAATGCCCCGTCAGGCAGCAGTTGTAATGGAGGCTTCTGAGTGTGATAGAATAAGCACTTCATATGGAGTGCCTTGGTACTCTAGCCAAAGTGTTGCCCTGTAAATGCAGGCCGTGTCAGGCAGGAGTGGGCCAAATGGTGTACCTAACCAAGTGTCTTGTAGGAAGTCTTATTTTATAGGTCTTAATGAGAATGTCTATTTCCAATGCTTGTTTTGCACTGTGAGAACCGCTTATGTTCTGTTGCAAGCTAATACTACTGACTGTAACATGGCACCAAATGTGGAGCTTTTTGTTAAATATGTGTTTTTTTTCCCTTTGTCTGATGTCATTGTGCTTACTGCATGACTGAATAAGTCCTTGAGAATAACACATCATTGACCAATTCTGAGTAAATGTATATTTATTAATTTGTTCAGTCGTCCAGCTTTGGTCCTACAAATGAATAACAGTTAATGTAACAAAGACCGCAAATACATTTGAGTGTCATGTTGAATACTGTAAGAAACAAGTACATTTGAGCACTACAGTATTAATACAGTACATTTGAGTAACTTCAAGAAATTAATGGTTTATACTCCCACCTTGTGTTCAAAATTGTCCAAACCATTGTAGGAGTGTTAATTCAACTCACCTCTGAAGCAGCCCTCAATACAGTCCCCGTCTGCTGGGGAGCACACCTCCGTGGAGCACATGAAGTAGATCTGTTGTGGATGAGGACAGGAGAACACATTCAAATGCACTGACCACACAGTACTGTATCAAATGCTGAGTCTATAATATGACACCATTGGCTGAGACTGACCTCCTGGTCCTCCAGGTGGGAGGGACTTCCTGTGGGTAAAGACTGGAAGGTGGTGATTGTGAGCCTCCGGGTGTGACGGGGTTGGGCAGGTGGTGGGGGAGGGGCCTGGGAGTCACCACGGCTGGGACAGCTGAAAAACGAGAAGACAACGTGGAGGTTCAGACAAAATAACTGCCTGTTCACTATACGGGACAGTTATTTAGTGGAGCTGAGCAGCAGGTGCTGTGGAAAAACCTAAAGAATATCCATATTTCAATCTAATCAGCAATTTCACTGTCACATCATTCACGTGGTGTAGAGATTCATGCATCTATGCAGTGCTTTCTCTGCTGTTGCATATAAACAAACAAACTATATAGTTGGAACAACCTACCCATCATAGATGAGCAGCCAGCGGGCCAGTGGTGTGTCTGAGTAGGCCAGACAGTAGTGCACCAGGAGAACCAGGCCAGGGTCCAGGTCTGGGGGGCTCAGCAGACCCACCTCCAGGTGCAGAGGTTGCCCCTGAAGTAGACTGATTGGTCGATGTTTCTCTGGGTAGAAGCTGCTGTAGTGCTCATCTACAGGCAGAGGTAAACATGGGGATGTTAAAGTGGTTAGTTGACAGATACAGTATGATAAAACTCACTCCGCAGAGTCCTACATAGCTCTATTATGACTGCTGCTACTCCTGAATTTTTCATTACTTCTACAGTCCTACCTGTAGCGATTCGTAGACGGACAGCCAATGAGCCCTGAGTGGGGACAGGGGGGGTAGGGGTGGTGCTCATCACATGGTACCTCACCCTCCCTGGAGAACCAGGAGAAGACCTGCACGCCACCATCAACCTACACACAAGACAAGCTCATGTTACACTAATTCTACACTGACTTGTAATCTCATCCCATCTGTACTAAAGGATATCATGTTAATCATGGTTTGACAGCATTTGCAGTCAGATGGTAACTTTTGGGAATACATTTGCTAGGGACTTGAACCATTTGTTCTCGTAGTAATGGCTTTACCTGACAGGTGAGTCTTCAAATGTGGTGCTGTGTTCATGTTGTGTGGAAAGTAGAGCGTTGAACTCCAATAAGTGGACCACGGCCTGACCAGCCTCCTAACCAAACAGACATGTGCAACAGGTCAAAAGAAGGAGCATCAAACTATATCATACAAAATAAGCATACACAGATAATGAGTTGAACAGTTTTATAAAGGAGGTGGAGTAGCAAGTCTACAGTAACTTACGTATCTGTGCACTCCACAGCCATCCAGGGGCACACTGTACAGGTCAGAGGTGATCCTCTGGGGGGTGCAGGACACGTGACTGTCCGCAGGCAGAGGGGTGACCGTGGGGTCCACCAGAGAGCCAGGGACCGCAAAGACAAATTGACGCCCCGATGTACACTCTGAGGGATGACACACACACCCTGAGGACCTAAGACACAAATCAGCACATTGTGGAAACTAAAGAGTAGCAGAGCAGTTCGAAAACTGACATTCCCAAAATACCAAGCATGTGCCATTGGCCTTGGACACACTGGAAGACCATTTCCATTCCTCCCATCTCAGACATTCCCCTGGGAAGTGTTTTGATGTCGGCGAAACACCAAATAGCCAACTGTTATGGCCTCTCCATAGCAACGACAAGACCAGTAGCTTGAGATCGAGAGACTAACCATTCACAGGGTAAGAGCAGCAACCTAAGAAGCCCGCACAGTCATGGTGGGACAAGCCACAGGGTGTGTGTGTATCTGCCTTGAAACCAGGGTCTGTATGGAGAAAAGGGAAATGGTACTGGTGTGACAAACCTCCACTTTTTTAAAGAACTTCTTACAAAGAAATGTGGATATTTGATGCTGAAGTGAAACAAATGACATAGCAGTCCCCAGGATCACCTAGTAGAGGTGGAGTGCCCTCATGTGGCTCTTTATAGAGCATGCACTGATATTAGACAACCAAATAGCCTTTCAATAGTGGTGCAGTTCACACAGTAGAAATATTCAAGATGACGACTTACCTTTCATCAAGGTGTCTGACATATTTCCAGTGGGCCCTGTGTGGGGACGATGAGGGGAAGGAATGGTTGAAGGTTGTGGATGAATGATATGATGGTGTGAGGGGTTATGAATGGGGTTGGTGGTAGGATGGGGTGCATGGGTTGGACTCTCCACATGAGTATGGGCAAAGCTGCCTCTTCTATAATGGTCAGAATCTATGGGAGCTTGAGCTCCTGATGTCTTTTCGGCGTGTGTACTGGGTTCATAGCTTTGGTCCTGGTCGTAGATGGACATTCCAGGATGGTAGTAGAAGTAGTAGTAGTAAGGGTCAAAGGGAAAAGGTGGGATTTCAGGAGTTGTAGATTCTGGGGTTGGAGTGGGGGTTTGAAGACTGTTAGTAGCAGGAGGAGTAATCTGGATAGGCATTTTGGCCTGGGCGTAGTCATATGGGAGGGCTGGTTGGTGAGAAGTTTCCATAGTGTGAGGAGCAGAGGTCTGAGATGGAGGAGTCTGAGCTCCTTTAGATGGGGCAGAAGATGCATGATCGACAGGTTGGGGTAATCTGTATGGATCATAAGGTATTGAGTAGTAATAGTAGGGGTGATAGTAGTAGTGTGGGTAAACTGGAGGGCCAGGGGTAGATGCTGGAGTAGGGGTTGACGAGGGTGCAGGCAGAGCAGTGGGAAGGAGAGTAACAGGGTTTGGTTCTTGTTGAGGGTTGCTGATGGGTGATTTGAGATGAGGGTAGTACAACGGGGGGAAGTTTGGAAAGAGAAGAGGTTGGGTTGCAGCATGGGCAACAGAGGTAGAACTAGTAGACCGGCTCTGAACTGTGGAACTAGTAACTGTGTGTGAATTGGAGGGTTGTTGTTGTGGAGGCCATTTCAGGTGACCATGAGGGTGTGACTTTCCACTTTGATCAGGAGGAGACAAAGGGGGAGATGGGACAACTGGAGGATGTTCGTCCATGGGTCTAGAGGGATTGTTGGTCTGGAGACCATTTCTATGTTTCTGGTTCGGTGTAGGCTTGTAGGGAAAATTAAGAGTGTATTGGTAGAATGGGAGCTCTGTTAAGGTGGGAGATGAGTTAGGTTTCAAAGTTTGAAGATGAATAAAAGGGTCATCATCAGGGTGATGGGATCTCTTGACTTCACCAGGTGTTTGTGGGGTGTAGTAGTGAGGATAGGGTGGAAGGTGAGGCATATCAGAAGCAGGAAGTATACGGAGTGTTTGTGAACTGCTAACAGGGAGAGTAGAGGAGTGAGAGGCAGGGGTAACAGGCTGAGGGAGTTGGGGTGGGTTATAGGGAGGCACTTTGGGGTGGTAGAGGTAGTAGTGTGGAAACACAGGGAAGATTGGGTTAGGGGTGTGAGGGGCAGGTGGTTCAACCTGAGGACCATTGGTGGAAGTACCCGTCTTGGCACCAGGACTGGGCCCTTGAGGTGGCTCAAGGATAGGGATTTTGGGGTGATGGTAGTTGTGGTAGTATGGGTGGAGAGTATACGCAGGGGTTTGGAGAGTGGGGGCTTCAGAGTGAACTGGATGACCAGCTATAGTGGAAGAATACTGAGTAACATGGGGGTCATAGTAGTTGGGGTGGCTTGGGACAGGAGTTGTGGGAGTGTGGCATGGCTTCGACTCAGTGGGATCTCCTGAGGGTCCTGTAGTTGGGAGTTGAGAGGGGGGACTAGAGGAGAGGGGTGACTGGTATGACTCACTGAGGGGCATCGTGTGGAGGTGGTAATACTGATAGAATGGGTAGGCCTGAAGACGCGGGGCCAGGGGAGGATGGTCAGAGGGGCCTGTAGTTGAGCGAGAAGTAACATGGCTACCAGGGCTGGGAGGCTGGTGAGGATGATCAGGGGGCAATGTGGGCTGGGGATTGAATGGGAAGAATGGGTGAGGCACCGGGTTAGACATGGTTATGGAAGTAGGGTTTGACAGCAGGGTTGTGGAAACTGAGTTTGTTGGGCCCTTAGTTGCATAATGGAGGAAATCTACTGCAGGTCGGAGGGGTTGTATTACTTGGTCAGGTAGAGCAGAAGGACAGGCCAGTGTGATTGCGTTCTCTCCTATTTGAAGAGAGAGAATGTATTTTCCATCCTGGAAGAAAATTGACATTATTTAAGTTAGGTGGGGAAATGATCATGTCACTGAGTGTACAACATATTAAGAACACCTTCCTAATATTGAGTTGCAACCCCTTTTGCCCTCAGAACAGCCTCAATTCGTTGGGGCATGACTATAAGGTGTCGAAAGCATTCCACAGGGATGCTGTCCCATGTTGACTCCAATGCTTCCAACAGTTGTGTCAAGTTGGCTGGATGTCCTTTGGGTGGTGGACATTCTTGATACACACGGGAAACTTGAGCATGAAAAACCAAGCAGCGTTGCAGTTCTTGACACAAACCGGTGCACCTGGCACCTACTACCATACCCCGTTCAAAGGCACTTAAATATTTTGTCGTGCCCATTCAACCCTCTGAATGGCACACATACAAAATCCATGTCTCAAGGCTTAAAAATCTATATTTCACCCATCTCCTCCCCTTTATCTACACTGATTGAAGCGGATTTAATAAGTGACATCAATAAGGGATCATAGCTTTCACCTAGATTCACCTGGTCAGTCTCATGGAAAGAGCCGGTGTTCCTAATGTTTTGTTCACTCAGTGTAAAATGCTACATTCTTAAGCAAAGAAATTGGTTCCGCAAATTCCATGTAAAAGCAAAAAGGACAGTCAAGTAGCCCTGAGTCATAACTTCCATCCCACATGCAATATGAGTGCCATGGCTCACCTTTGATGTGATCCCACAGGCAGTGAAGGGTGCAGATATGAGCAGCTCTCCATGTTGCCTGTCCATAATGTAGCCACACTGCAGGGCCAGCGAAAGCAGTGGCATCCATCCACCTCTCACTGCAGGGGGAAACCAACACATCTCACATACAGACCTGACAGTAACCCCGCAAACTCATGATAGCAGCAGAAATATAGTTATAGAAACATTGGATTCAGTCCAAATTATGCCTCTAAATCTGTCTGTTCAGCAGCCATAGTGTGCAGGCTATGTACAATTGTGATACATTATACAATGTAACTCCACACTTACCCTTGACTCTGAGCTCCTCTTTGGCTCCATGTCCTTGCAATCTGACAGTCATTCCCTGAGACGAGCAGCAGAGGGAGGAGGGGGCCAGGGCCTGAGCCTGGGACACTGGGCAGGACATCTTCACAGGGGTCCCTCTCCAGACCAGAGGCAACACATAACTACCATCCTGTCAGCAGCACCGCAGGCCACAGGAAAGGAGTGAATAATGGTGTGTGATTAACAATTTTAAAAGCTTTTATGTTGACAGAATGACAGTCACAGAACAGTTTTAACCTGCCAGTCTGACAAGTTTGGAGAATGGAGTGTGACTATGGCCATTGAGTTACTTTTTAGCAGGGGAGAGCTACTTTACCTCTTCTTGCTTGACGTGACAGGCATCATAAGGTACCACAAACATCAGGTCTCGCCATGTCGACTCGACAGAGTAGCCACATTGAGAGGGTAGTTGGGCCAGGGGGACAGCAGAGGCATTCGCTAAAGGCAAGAGGACAAATGAATACAATAGCCTACAGCTATGCATCATTCACATCCACACACCTTGTGGTCAGACTTAATGGACTAACGGAGCCTAACTTTACTCCTTATAGTCCAAGGACCTTACATGTTCTGTTTAAAGGCCAATTGGCTCTGGAAGCCAAAATAGCCAAATACTCTATCTAAATGTGAATCGATTCTCAATTGCGGTACGGTTCTAGAAACATAAATCCATCTACTTTCATATCACATCAAAATAATTTCAAATGAAAATACTGTACACTGTTTTAACACAGTTGCAGCCGATAGTATTTTTGAGTGACAACTGTCAAGTTTGTGGCATCTGTCTTCCATTTACACAAAGGTGTTTGGCGATGCCGATAGCCAATTAGCACAGGAGTCCACTGTCTTCTGTATTATTCTGTATGTAAATCCAAGATACTCCATTTAGTATGATGTTACGTTTCGTATGTATTCATTTGTATTACAATTCGGATGATATGTTACAAATTCTAATTTGTTGTGTCTAACGTTAGCTAGGTGGCTAACGTTAGCTAGGCTAGGGGTTAAGGGTTAGCTAACATGCTAAGTAGTTGAAAAGTTGCTAATTAGCTAAAATGCTAAAGTTGTCCATGATGAGATTCGAACACGCAACCTTTGGGTTGCTAGACATTCGGGTTATACGTCCACCATCCATACACCATAACCAGCCACCCTCCTTGTGTTTTTGCCTTAAGTAACCTTCTGTCTTATGTAACCATACCAAACATACCATACTAATTTGAGTGCCACGGATTTACATTTACTATGTTACATCTAGTCTATGAGACCAGGCTGGGGAACCCTAACTCTATAAAAGGTGTGTATCAATTAAACTTTTCGTTTATAAAATTATGTCATGCTGATATGAAAGATAAGGATGGTCCTTATGCTTCCAAAACCCTACCCCAAGCGGTGTGTTAATGTTCAGACCGAGCTTCAGGGCTCAAAAAAAAAAAATCCCCTGTACAGAAGACACCTTCATCCAATGACTAATGTGTAATGGAACTGAGAGTCATGATCAAAGGGATAGGTCACCGTCATACTTACCTCTGTCTACTAGCAGATGTATGGCTCTTCTCCCTCTGACAGTGAGGGTCATAGTCTCATCTCCACACTCCACAACTGGCTCCATTCTCAGCCAACTCTCCTCTGCTTTTGCTATCTCACCTCGAACCTTTCCTGCACGCACTCCTAAAACAGACATAACATTAGCCTATTATGCATATTTTGAGCAAAAAATACGTGGCTAGTCAAACTAAACAAGTTGAATGATAGAATAGGCTACATGATAAACAGAGCCCACCTATAACTTACCTGGAGTTGCTGAATCTGATTGGTAGGCCATTTGTGAGTGGTTCTCATCGTTTCCTGTGATGGAAAACTTGCCACGATGTAGATTCTGAATTTTTCCTTGATTGCAATCGATATTACTGTAGGATTTTGATGGCGAATCTTCCGAATGCTTCTCCTCGTGTTGTTTGGCATGGTACTTGCCGTTTCTATCATTGAATAACACCATTCTAGATTGAAAACGCATCCGTTTTCTACCCGAAAGTCGTGATCTGTTCACTTCTTCAAAGTCCTGAGATAATTTATATTTTCGCGCGTTTTCGTATGATTCACCAATTTCACCTGGCTTGGTCTCGTGGAACTGTCTTCGCGCTGGCTTATCTACGCTGATTCTTGACGGGTTTGTTTGACGGGCGTTGGTCTTTGTAGTCGGGATGTCCTGAGTCAGTTTATCATTACGGGAGATACTGCCACTTGAAAGATGATTTTGTGTGGATTCTGTGAACGCAACAGGTGTGTGAATTATTATTTTACCAGTCGAATCGTGAGCCTGACCTCGCAGACACCGAGTGATTGTTAGAATGTAAAGTATGAGAATACGGTATCCATTTTGTTTAACATACATTGCCAATATGATCATTTCTCAACGTACACCAAAACACTGGGACTAGGCAAAAGGGAAAGGTATATTTTGTAGGCTGCCGCATGCACCACGTGTTCACTGATTCAACCTCAATTAGGCTTAATTGGCAATTAGTCTCAACAATGGCATGCCAATTCCAAATATGCTTGTCAGTTCTACAGGGATATATAATTACAGGCTTGCTATATAATTTACCATAATAAAAGTAAAGTTTAAACTTAACCACCATAATACGTTAGAGATAAATACCATATTGTTAATATGGTGATTTGATGACAAGCTCTCTTTTCTCTCCACAAGAGGGTGGCATTGTCATACAAGTCAAAGCATACATTGAATTCTCCACTCTGCCCCTGAGGAGCATCTGACCATTCATTACATTTACATTTTAGTCATTAGCAGACGCTCTTATCCAGAGCGACTTACAGTTAGTGAGTGCATACATTCCACCCTCACCCTGGTATGGCCAAGTACCCTTACACAGTTCCTATAACTTTGCTTTGTTATTATGGTAATCTGCTGTAGCACAAGAACATCAGCAATTGCTGAGAGGTGAAGCCTGACCCCAATCAAGTTTCACCTTTGAATGTAGGGGTTAGGTAACCTGCTTTTGTACCAATCCACATGAAAACATACTATAGTATACTAGCAGACTTTAGTGTACTATTACTGTAGTATTTACTGTAGTGTTTTAGTTTTATTATCTCTGACATAGAAGTGGGGTCTTTCTCCTTGAGGAAACCTGCTGGACAAATACTAAAAGAGCAAATGTTCCATAACTTGTAGGTAGGGAGTCTGAACAGATAGTTGAGCGCTTCTGCTCTTTTCTATAACCTGTAGGGAACACAACATATGGCCTATACTTGCCATGTAGGTTTCTCACTCATGGGTGGCACAAGTTGGGATATGGGGAAGGGGAATGTGTGGGGTATATGCAAATTAAATACTGTAGTTAAACTGTAGTGTTTTTGCAGACACTGTAGTGCTTTTGCGGACATTACTGTAGTATTTACTACAGTGTTTTTTTGGGGGGGTAATACCGTAGTATTTACTATAGTATTCTACAGTATACTACAACATTCTATAGTAAGCACTACACGATTGAGGGATACTACAGTGTGGAGTATAGTATTCTATAGTATACTACAGTTTACTACATAATTATATAGTAAGTATAGTAAACTGTAGTATTCTTGGTGTTGGAATTGCCCTGAAATCAACTTGGGGCATCATAGGGATTTTATTTAGTGTTTCCTTTGGAATAACATCACTATAACCATTGCTATTATTGTCATAGTGACACTTTGCCACCACATGGCCACATCAATGTTGATAATTATCAGCCGAATAGTACAGTGGCATGAATTGTACGGACAGTGGTAGGCCTAAGAGTGACAGTGAAAATCAAAAACAAATTCCACTGTACTTCCCTCTTTTGTCAGACATCTGCATACTAACTACTGTAATATTCAAGAAGGACCAGTAAGTAATAGAGGGATTTAATTGAAACTGAACATAATGACACTGTCTAACTGAACTACACTCTTCAATAGGTTACATGAAGAGAGTGTACAGGGGAGGGGAGAGGGGGTTGATGGGCGCGGCAGGGTGATGACTCATATTGTGAGTTGCCTAGCTACTAACAGTCAGGAGTTGTTTTCTTTTCAACATTTCAAAGCAGAAAATATGTATGTCTGGATTTCATTGAGAGAAAATAGTGAGAGGGGGTGGTAAACAAGGGCTGAGCAGGAAAAGGAGGGACAAAACAGTCGGAGAAGGAGGAGGAGGGTAGATCATGTGCAAACTAAGTAAAATGTAGCAATAATGTGAGATCTAAAAAAAAGAGCCACAGGGTATAAGTGACAGAGAGGGAGTGGATCAAGAATAAAACCCTGACCAGTCACCATGGAAACGGGCAGCTCCACTAAATATCAGGAATAATTGTTTGTAAACAATGTAAACAGTTGCTGGAACAACCAAAACAAGTAGTGGCTACATTTCTTATCTGTTTTATGTTACTACATTGGATTACATGTCCCTGAAAGCTATCCCTGACAGTTTACTTTTTTTTCTTCTTCTTCTTAAAAAAGCAACAACAGACTGCTTCAAGACCTGTTGGAATTCCCCATGCAGGGACCCACATGGAAAAATACTATAGTATACTATGGTATGAATACTATAGTATTCACTGTAGTATTTTTGCAGACTTTACTGTAGTATTCACTGTAGTGTTTTTGCAGTATTTACTGTAGTGCACTGTAGTATTTACAGTTAACTATAGTATAAATATTGTAGTAAAAGAAAACGGTACTATAACTATAGTAATTTATGTAGTGCTTTTGCTGATTGTACTATACTGTAGTATGTACTGTAGTGTTTTTGCAGACTGTAGTATACTGTAGTATTTACTGTAGTGTTTTTGCGGACATTACTGTAGTATTTAGCCTACTACAGTGTTTTTATTTTATTATCTTAGACAATATTAAAATAGCAAATTTTCTTTAGATTAATAGGAATGGGGTCTGAACGGATAGCCCAGAGCTTCTACTATTTTCTATAACCTGTAGGGAACACAATACTGTATGTGGTCTATACTTTTTACTACAGAGTTTTTTTTGTGTGGATAATATTGAGCATTTACTATAGTATTCTACAGTATACTACAACATGATATATTAAGTACTACACATGATTGAGGGATACTACAGTCTGTAGTATAGTATTCTACAGTCCACTACAGTTTACTATATCATTCTATAGTAAGTACTGTAGTATTCTATAGTAAACTGTAATCTTTTTTTAACGTGGGGAGCATTAAGAAACCCCAGACGAATCTAAAGGAACCATAGTTCTGCCGTTGTTTATTTTATTTTATTATTTTATTTAACCTTTATTTAACTAGGCAAGTCAGTTAAGAACAAATTCTTATTGACAATGACGGCCTACCA